CAGGTACTGTGATGGACGGTAAACGTGAATAATTGTTGCTTGTGCTGGGCCTGCAATTCGAGAATCAATGCTTGCAATTTGGAGATTAGGTCCTCCAAGTTCCAATCACCTGGCATCCCAGCATACTGCTAAGTCCTGAGTTGCATGGCATGGTGTAGATAGAAGGACATTCGCCGCTCCGGAACTGGAAAGGAGATAAGCTTTATCCCACCGACGATGCCACTTTTCGATATCTTTGCCCGAGTTCACAACGGCAACAGTCCAATACATATCGAACATTGCCCCTGTTGGTTCAAGTCAGTTTGATGATACCTAGTCAAGCCATATGCTACCTTGAGCTAGTCATGCTCTATTGGACCAGTGGATGGGTTTCGTAAGTTACGGGCTTTTCGACGCCCGAATAAACGACATGAGCTCCCGTCGGCTTTGCGTTGTAAATGTTCTTCCTTCAGCGTTTCGCCCTTCTATAGCGGACTGATATTGAAGCTTTTATTTCGCATCCCAAAGCATGTGAGCTACTTTTATCCATAACAGACGGACTCGTTATCGCAATGAATACCGGGAAGGCAGAAGCAGAAGCAGAAGAAGCAAAAGCAGAAAGCGAAAGAGGATCGGAATTCGTAGAACTTACCGCGCAATATATACCACTAGCGTTCTTTTGGTTGGGACGGGATAAAAAATAACTATGACGGAATAGTCAATCAATACCTGTACGTATAAGTCCCATAACGTCTTGCATTCCATCTCAGGCGGACCAACAGACAAAACCTTTGTTTCCTCCCTCCTTTCCAACCCTAGAAGGCATCACCTTTTGAGCGATCTGATTACGGCCTTGTTAGTCTTAGACGCTCACGCTCATCAGCAAGTCGTGACCGATTCTGTTAACCGTTATGTGTTGGCTATGAGAATCGTGGGTGAGTACCTATGATCAGCACAAAGGTGCGCGATGCTTGACGTCTCAGGGCCGGAAATCTAGTACCACCACCACTGTGTTCAAAACCAGACTCGAATAGGTACCTCTGGAAGCTCTCAATCTTGCAGGTCAAGATTCAAGAAAGCACCCGACGTCCAAGCAATACCATCAGTCACAATCTCAAACACAATCTCTACTACCACAGCCCAACCCCAAGAATCCACATACCCTCAGAAAGACACCACAGACAAACACAAAAATGGGCATCCACTTCCCCTTCCCCGGTGAGTTCGCCTGTCACTGCGAACTCGAACCGAGCTTCACCATTTTCTGCGGGAACAACTGCAACACCCTCCCAGTACCAGCAAGCTGCATATTACGTGAACTCGTATGGACAGTTCCAGAATGACCTCAGACATGGAGGACATGTGTCCCGAGTGCTACCGCGATGGGTGGCAATACGTGCCTGGGCGAGGGTTCATTAGGAGGTTGGGACCTAGAGGTAAGTTGTAAACTGCACGTGCTGGCTGCTGGGTTAGTGGAAGAAAGTGACTGTCTAGTGCTTCCCCAGTGCGGCTGAGGCTGCGGGAGATAGCGAGGTGCAGGATCACGGGACTTTCTTTTACTGTCAGTGCGGGTGGGACTGTAGTTCGCAGGTCGGACGGACCCAGAGGAGAGAGGAGGGCATGACCACAGAGAAGGGGACGGATTGAGGAGTGGAGGAAATGAGGAGAGGAGTTGAGTTGAGCGGAGGACTGGTTATGGTAGTTGAATGTGTCGGACTGAGAGCATGCTTGTTGGAAGATGATACAAGGGGTTACTCGTTGACCGAGAGAACCACCTGGATTGATGTTGGCAGTTGCACTGGAATGGATATAGGTTAGCCGCTGGCGGCCCAAGCAGGAAAGGAATTCAACAAGTCTAGAGTTTAATGCCGTGTGTGATATCTCGGATCCGGTAGCTACCTACCTTAGTTCCCAGTGTTAGCTCGGTGCAAACATGTGAACTGAAGTAAAGTGACGTGAAGTGAAGTGAAGTGAAATGAAGTTGGCCTCTAGTCGCCACCAGAATATCAAACCCCAATGCATAATGTGTCCTGGTTCCAAACGTGACTCCACTTCCCAGGACATAGTACATGTGTGCATGGTTGCGCCAATCCTTCAAGGTTGACCATGCAGGGTGAATACCTACATGTAGCTACCTCTACATAGAGAAAATCTGGTGAGCATGAATCTTGCAGTACCTACCTTATGTATCTTAGGGTTCTCTTACATAGAAGGCCTCAAAAGAACACATTTCGTGGAATTCTGCGGTACGTAGGGAGTATATAAAGCGGTCGTCCCAGCCGAAACCGACAACCTAACCAAGCCAGATCCTCTCTCCGTTAACAGCCACCACCACCAGAATTTCTGAAAAGCGAAGGAAATCAACTACAACGAGTCGATCACTCCTAAAGTACTTTCCAGTCTCTTTCCCTACGAAGACTTGGAAATCCTTCTTGCGACCTACCTGGCACTTGTGCACCCTCAATCTCTCTCTTCTTGGCTGCACTGCTCTCAATCCGACAGTCGTCGCCACAGACATAACAACATCCAACATCCGTTGTTGTCGACTTCCGGCTGCTCTCTTTCTCTCCGGTCGCTGTTCTGCTCTTCGCCACCTGTCTTTCCGCGAGACACAACAAAAATACCCTACAACATTCAGCATTAGGCCTTCAACAGAAGTCCGCCTTCTTCAAGAACAAAGCTCGAAAGTGTAATATCCCGAACTTATCCTCTTGATCCTCGAAAGTGAGTACAATTATTCATCTCCAGAGCCCTTTGACTCAAGCTCTTGACATGAACGAAACCACTAACGATCACGTCCGGCCCCTCTTGTAGTTGATCATCAATCATCAAGCCCAAAACGAAAGACAACCAACAAGGTGTGCTACCATTTCCCCGAAGGCGGCTTTTTTGAAGGCTGCGGCTGCGGCTGCCTAGTCATTCCCGGCTTCAAGATCGCGTGTGCTGCCAAAGTGAACACAGGCACATGTGCGGGCTTAGTCGATGAGGCCCCAAATGTGAGGGACCCGACCTGCGGGCCCTTTCATCTGATTCCTATTACGTGTGTTTGCCACGCGATGTTATGGGGAGGAAGCAAGTCTGTTAAGGCTAAGCTCTGAGTTTTTTATGGGTGGACGGTAGATGGGGGATACTGTTACGACCATTTACGGTCGCTGGCAGGGTTGCTAGTCAGCGGACGGTAGGGGAGAAAGTCGGAACAAGAAGGGATTCTCGATGTTTTGCGGTTCGAAGATTGTATCGGCCTTTCAGCATGGGATAGGGAATAGGGAACGGGGAGAATGAGGGAATAGGTACCTGTACATAGGGACTATCAATAGTAGCATTAAGCGATTAACCACGAGTGGGGTCCAGTTCGTGAATCCATGTGACAAAGTCAAGCATGACAGGAGGACCGAGGAGTTCCGGTAAACGTGATATAAAGAGGTTTCGGCAGTCGTTCATCATGGTGGAGGACAGCCGTTGACGCAGGTCTTGTTGAGGCCTTTCCCTAATGTCGCACTGCGGCAACGGGAATTGTGCGGCGTGTCTCAAGTTTCAGGTGTTCCCTCTCTTTATGAATGGTGCGATGCCTATGTCGTCTGACAATAGCCTGCACGACACTTGCCGAGTGACCACGAACCCCGGCCATAAACTTGTAAGCAACGGGTTTAATGGCTGGCCACAAGGAATCCGGCAACGGCCTCCGGCAACCGTGAGAATGCCGAAAGGACTTCTGCTGATCTAAGACACTGATACTCGGTTCGGCTCACTTTCCGTAAGGCTGAGGAGGGGCCGCGCCGCCACGCTTATTGACCCAACCAAAAGTGATGGCAACACACCCCATACTTTACCGTCTTACCCCAGAAGCGTGGCTTCCCGCTAAACTCAGCCGACAAAACAGGCTGTGGTATGTACTCGCAACGATGTGGTAGTACTGTCAAGATAGACCTACAACTGCTGGTCAAAGGATGAATGAGAATGTGATTTGGAGGTGGGGGCAAGCAGCAACAGCAACGATAACTCGAACGAAAATAGAAAAGTGAAAAAACTTGGATCAAACAGCCTCGAGGCACTCGAGGGGAGGGAAAAAAATAAATAAAAAATTGTTGAGCCGATGGAACGGGTAAATGCCAGCCCCCAATGGACCCCAGACTCGGCAGACATTGGATACAAGTGACAGGCGTGCCGCAGACGAACAAACATGGTGACACAAGCCCATTGTGTTCACCATCTCCACGCAGCTGCGCTTGGCCTTCTGGAGCCGAACCCAATCGGATGCCGAGATGGTGATATGCATTGCGCTTATGCGTGCAATACGGCGGCCTGAAATAGACCCAGCAGAGTCGCACGAAAGTGACGGGGGCAAATTCTTGAAGTCGATATTCCCTTTCTGCTCATCCGAGGGTTACAGTGAGCTGGTAGAGCTATAGGACCCATGCGCATGGTTCAGACCATGGGCGCCCTCAGAAAAAAAAAACAGAAACCTGGGGCCTCCCAATCAGTAAAACTCGTGGGCAGACCTCATTCCCGATGGTGTAGGTGTTTTGTCGATGATTGGTCATGTGGCCGCGTATTTTGCGGACAGAATAACAGTATCGCTGTGCCCAGATCCACGTGGAAGACGTACACCTTATTGCCGGTGAACAAGACATTGGTTGTATGGCTGTTGTCAGAATCGGTAGCTGGATTCTAATTTCGACGACTGCGCTGCTCAAGCCTCCTCCACCCTATCCTAGGCACGCCACATCGGGCATGGTTTTGTGTAGAGAGCTGGAGGCCTGAGGGACCCTGAGTGTTGTTATTCGGTTGGGGGCATCGTCGACATCTATTGTTATCCGTGCAAGTCGGAGTCTTCCGGATTTGTTGCAGTAAGTAGCTGCCTTGACGAGCATATAAAGCCATGCTGCCCTCAGTTGAAGGGGGTTGGGATACTACACAATCATCAGCACTCAATACAAGAAGGCCCACTCAGAGAAGAAGTAACGCTCTTTGTATCTCAACTCAATATCCACAGCGAAACACCTGTTCACATTCCGCTCGCCATGCCCAACAGCAAACAGTAAGACTCACTCATCCTTATCGAACAAGTCTCGCTGGTGAGAGCTGACATGACCTTGGACAGAAGCAACTCGTCTGGAGGAAAGTCGGATGAGTACGGGCGAGAAGCTCGACTGGAGATGTTCCAGATTGAAGAGCGACAGGAAGGCAATATTCTTGTGCGGGTGCCATACAAGCCTCGAAAGCCACGGCAGACTCGACGGACTATGGCGAGGGAAATTCGGCACATTATGGAACCATTCGAGGAGCCCCAGGTAGGATAAGACGGTGGTGTGGTGGTTCTTTGCTGAATGGCTTGGGATCGGTTCATGTTGTGCAGACGGGGATAATGTTAATGTTGCTGCTGATGATAGATATATGGGAATGTGACAGTCGACCAGTTTCCAAGTCTCCATGTCGTCCCTCCACTATCATGTCCACCTCTGGCTTGGGGTTCGTGTAGGTAGTCATGCTCAGAATCAGAATGAGCCGCCGGTTTTCGGGGTTGTTTCCATATTCTGGAGTCGAAATCGTGATTGTTGTCGATAGTAGGACAGAGAATATCCGAGGGATCTAGTTGGAGAAGC